GCCTTGCTTTAAGCAATACCGAGCTGCCTTTTTTCGAAGCGCATGAGCTTTTTTCTTATCATCGGGGATGGTACCATACTGTAATAAAGCAACAATCTCGTTCCTCCAATCCCAAGTTAAGTTATTAAAATTTACCTCATTCTTATCGGGGTCGAGAACTGAATGAAATAAATGAATAACTGAAGCATTTGCATTGCTTGCCACGTCTGCCGCAGATGCGAGATTAGCTAGGGCATTTGCTTCAACATTTTCATCCCTTGGTATTTGCGTAACTTTCTAGGTTTGAAATTGTTTTATCAAATCCCGTACCTTTTCTAAGTACTGTTGCATCCTTGCTTTCCTTGCCGTATAAGTCCCCATCATTTGATTAACTACGAGCTGTGAATCACTTTTGATTATAATCTGATTTATGCCAAGTTCTCGTGCCAGTTCTAAACCTGCAATCATAGCCCCATACTCTGCATCATTGTTAGTTATAGAATAACATTTAATAGCTTGTAGAATGGTTTCACCCGTAGGTGGTACCAAAACAATCCCTAAACCTGCACCATTCACGTTAGATGAACCATCAGTAAATAGGGTCCAAATTCCTGGGTTAGCTCCGTTGAGCACCTGTAACTCTTTTTTTGCTTCTAATTGCATCCCTTGGCTAAAATCAGCCACAAAATCAGCTAACACTTGAAATTTTATAGCAGTTCTAGATTGGTATGTGATATCATATTCACTTAATTCTATAGCCCATTTAGCTAACCTACCTGACAACTCATGCTTATGTAATATATTGCGTAATGGATAAGTAGTTACTACAGCAATAAGATGACATTGAAAATAAGGTCTTAATTTTCTAGATGCCATGATTAATGCAAGTGCAAGCTTTTCCAATTGAGGATACCGCGTCTTCGCATCTAATAAAAATTTGCTGACATAATAGATCGGAGATTGTTTACCTTGGTCCTCACGGACTAAAACAACACTTACCGCTACTTCTGAGACAGCAAGGTAGATGAGCAGTCTTTCCCCAACCTTTGGTTTTGCGAGCAATGGTGGATTTGATAAGTATGTCTTTAAATTATTGAGTGCCTGCTGACATTCCCATTCCATTCAAAATGATCTTGCTTTTTAAGAGCTGAAAAGAATTTAAAGCACTTTTCTGATGATTTAGAAATGAATCTTCCTAAGGCTGCATTTCTTCCTGTCAACCTCTGCACTTCTGTTTTACTTGAAAGCATATCAGGGATTTCTTCAATGGCCTTAATATGTGCGGGATTCACTTCAATACCACAGTTAGAAACAAGAAAACCCAAAAACTTACCTGACGCGACACCAAATGCACATTTCTCCGGATTTAATTTCATATTAAATTTGCGCAAAATTTGAAACGTGTCAAAAAAATGTGATATATGATCTCTTGAATGCTGAGTTTTAACGAGCATATCGTATATATAAACCTCCATGGTTTTTCCCAGATGTTCTTGAAACATTTTGGTCACCAGTCTTTGATACGTTGCTCTAGCATTTTTGAGACCAAAAGGCATTACTTTATAGAAGTAAGTCCCCCTGTCTGTTATAAATAAGGTTTTTTCTTCATCTAAGGGATCCATTTCAATTTGGTTATAACTTGAATATGCATCTAAAAAGCTTAACATCTCATGTCCTGCAGTAGCATCAATGAGTTGATCTATATGTGGTAATGGGAAAGAGTCTTTTGGACAAGCTTTATTAAGGTCGGTGTAATCTACACAAACTCGCCACTTACCGTTCTTTTTCGGTACTACAACAGTATTAGCTAACCAATTAGGATACTTTACCTCGCGGATAGACCCGATTTTCAGTAATTTCTGGACTTCATCTTGAATCACCTGATTTTTGAAAGCTCCTTTTTTTCTCTTCTTTTATTTGACAGGTGGAAATGAGGGATCTTCATTTAATTTGTGAGTCATTACCTCCGGTGGTATTTCTGTCATATCATAATGGGATCAAGCAAAACAATCCACGTTAGTTTTCAAAAATTCAACCAATTTACCTTTTATGTCCTGGCTTAGATTCGCCCCTATGTAGACTTTCCTTTCAGGCCATTGTGTGAATAACACTACAGCCTCCAGCTCTTCAATCGTTGTTTTAATGTTTTCATTTTCTTCTGGCTCTTGAATGAAATCAGGCCTTGAGTCCACATCTGTTCGTTCTCGTTCAGTTGAGGTTTGTGTTGTAGTACCCTTAACTGGATTCTGTAACTGCTATTTTTCTTCGTTCCTCATACTTGAATCTGCCATGGAGTTAATATTTCTGGATGTCTGTTGATCTCCACGGATTTGACGTATTCCCCATGGTGATGGAAATTTAATAACTTGATGTAAGGTTGATGGAACGACGTCCATCTCATGGATCCACGGTCTTCCGAGAATCATGTTGTAAGCCATCTCCATTTCTACCACCTGAAATTTTGCATCCTTGACGACCCCTTCTGCAAATGTAGTAAGTATTACCTCACCTTTCATCACAACGCTGGAATTGTCGAACCTAGACAAAGTATGCGCCTTGGGTATTAATTTAGCTTCAGCTTGCATCTCGTGCAGGACTCTTAGGAGAATAATATTCACAGAGCTACCTGGATCAATCAAAACTCGTTTCACATTAGTATCATGTACAAGTAAAGAGATTACCAGTGCATCGTTATGGGGAATTAATACACCATCCGCATCAGTATCATCAAACGTAATGTTTTCTTCCTCTAATAGATGTTGCACCCGCTTCCCGTGGGTAATCGTGACTTAGAATACTTTATTTGCTTCTGTATACATCACACCACTGATTTCTTGGCCCCCGCTTATAACATTAACGGTCCTTTTTGGAGAAGGCGGTTTAGGGGCTCCTGCCTATTCTTCATGTATGCTTGCTTACCTTTCTCGCTGAATAACTCAGTGAGATACCCTTGCTTCAACAGATGATCCACTTCACCCTGTAACAACCAACAATCTGTTGTTTTGTGACCATGATCATTGTGAAATTCGCACCAGTGTTCGGGATTGCGCCTGTTTGGATTTGACCTCATTTCTTTTGGAGACCGCACCTTATCACCCATACCTCTTAAAACAGCTACGAGCTCGGAAGTGCTTACATTAAAATTATAACTGCCAAATCGTGCCTTCAAGTTTTTGTCATCATCTCGTGACTCTCGTGTGTTGCGATCATTTCCATACCTCGATGATGAGCCGGATTCTCTATTTCTTTATCTACGATCGTACCTTGACTGATCATGCTTTGACCGTGAATCTTTTCCAGCTGGGCCCATATATGGTTCGTATCTATTTTTACTGGACCTTTTTTCTAATTCCGCCCATCTTGAACTCACCTTTTCTTCTTTTTGGGACCGCGAGATAATGTCTTCCTCGATCCTTAACTTTGTGCTATACCTGTTGTAAACATCATTCCATGTTGTTGCTGGAAATTCACGAAGACTTTCCTTGAGCCGCCTCGTGGCTTCTGAGCTTTTTTCATTCAAATTACTAGTGAATGCTATAGCTGCCCAATTATCTGGTACACGTGGAACGTCATTCTTTCACGCTGGAACCTATCCACGAACTCTCTGAGCAACTCAGAGTCCCCATGTTTGATTTTGAAAATATCTTCCATTCTCTTTTCGACTTTTTGAGCTCCCGAATGTGCTTTGATAAATGAATCCGCAAGCTCAGGAAAAGAATTTATAGAATTTTCGGGTAAAAGAGAATACCATGTTAGCGCTCCCTTAGTGAGCGTTTCACCGAATTTTTTGACCAATACTGATTCAATTTCTTGCTTGGTCAAGTCGTTGCCTTTTACGCCAGCTGTGAATGCAGTCACGTGGTCTCGTGGATCAGTTGTCCATCGTACTTTGGAATATCAGGCATTTTGAATTTCTTTGGAATTGGTAAGGAGGAGCACTTGGCTTCCAAGGTTGCTGTGAATATTTATCCATATCTATTCCTTTGATTACAGGCGGTACTCCAGGTATTTGCTCTATGCGGTCACTTTGCTCCTTAAGCTGTTTCTACAATGTTAGAACTAAATTTTGTAAATCACAATTGACTACGTTACCTGGTTCTCCATCTCGTGACTCACTGGGGATTCCGCCACTGCCTGAATTAACAAGCCCAGAACGAGGGTTTTCCAAAGTGTTGGTATTTGGAATTGGTGTTGATGGTGCAACAGGTAACTGGCTGGCAAAGGCCTCAAGAGCTTTATCGACCTGTTGAGCGATTAACTTTTGTAAAGCTTCATTGATGGCTTCCTCATTGTCAAATTGAGCATTTGCGTTTGAGTGAGACCCATCAGGAGTTCCTTCCCGAGACCGCCGAGGCGAGCTTTGTGGAGAAGGGATCGGAGTGTGAACATCTTGTGAGTCCCCTTGGAGTTGACGGTTTCCTTGGTTTCCATGGTTTCCCTGGTTTCCTTGGGTGTTGTCGTTAACATTTGACATGATTGTTGATGTAACAAATTAAATTGAAAAAAAAATAGATTATCAGATTCCCGGTAACGGAACCAATTTGTTTAACCAAAAAATAGAATTTTGGTCAAAGCGATAATTTACAAGAACTCGGGTTACTGATAATCAAAAAATGAATAAAGAAGAATGATTTTGCCAATAATGAGATAGTCAAAAAAACAAAGTAAACAAGTGTATTCAGATAGTATTCCGTGTCCCTACAATTGATCTATTCTCTCCCTTTTATAGCTATTTTGGAGATATGCGTTTTGCCTTTTTCATAATAAGGTCATTATAGTCAATTAAAGACATTAAATGCTACGTTACATAATCATTGTATTTAATACAGATTCTCTAACGTTTTTAGTATTTAAGGCTCATTAAATACTGTATCTGCACTCTCTTGTACTGTCAAGTTCATTTTCCTTAATTCTTCGAATTAAATAGGTACGGGCGCTGAGTCTTTTGAATAACCGCTCGTGCCTCTTTCTATGCCTCTGCTCGTATCTGTTGCAACTCGTGCCTCTTTGCCAATCATAACTCTTTGATCAATCTACGTGTCATGACACGCCATCTTTATATCACTTTAATAGGTAAACTCAATTTTTCCCAATACAACATTATATTACAAACTTTAATTTGAATCAAAATGATACCAAGTACTATCATGTTAGCTAGCACAACACTCATGTTAGAATTTAACACAATTGTTAAACCCCGAAACCTTAGGGGCCCCTTAAAAAAGACAAAAAATCTGAAAAAGAAAGAGGAAACAACCATAGACTAATCATCGTAGGGAGTTTCGTGCACGATGGACCCCTTCATTTCTTGTGCAAATAGGGATCTACGCCAATAAATTTGGGATATCGTTCGGCATTAGTGTTGCTGGTCTTTTGGTCATAGTACTCAACCGCTGCAGCTCCCGCTAACGCTGCAAGTGTAAGTGCCTGTGCGTGCAACCTAAAACGATCCACATTAACAACAATCTTCTTATAGTTAGATTTTGAAGGAAACATATTATCAAACGGGTACCTGGCATGGATGAGCCTAACGCTGGTTTTCATATTAGGCTTTGACCAATTGTAAGCGATCGATCCCGTTATTCCACTCAACCATAGACATCCTTTACGAAGCAGAAATTTCCAACATTAGCCAAACAGAAAAATAGAAATTTCCAACATTAAACATAAAAATGGATTATCTAAGAGTTTACCGACGGTGCGAAGCTTGTGCTCGATAACCCACTTTCTGACAGATTCAAAGGAGGAGTGTTGGTTAGATTCTGCCATCTTTTGATCACAATCAACGCAGAATCTAGAAATTTTTTAACAAAAACTGCAATGAAACAGAGGAGCAAATATAGAAACGCTTGCTGACTTTCAAAAGGCAAGGGGTAGGCTTCCCCTTTAATAGTCTTCGATATTTCCGGTTCGAATGAGGCGGCGGAAGAAAGAGAAAGACGACCTGGAATTTACAACCTGTGGGAAACCAGTGGGCGCGCATCTTTTCCGCGTGTACAAAAGAAAATGCTGTTTCTATTCGCCACGACTTCTTTTCGACTTCCCTATTTCCTTTTTTATTATTTTTGGTGCCATCAAATAACTTTTTTTTTTTAAGTAATGAGAATAAGCCGCTAAGTTTCTGTTACAAGTCAAACTCCAATTTTTCATTGGCGGTTTTATTAATGGAATGTTTAATAGTAGAGCCGTCAAAATAGGCTTGGCCCGTGAGGCCAGTCCAATCCAGTCCGCTACTTAGGTAGGGTTGGGTTGGGATTTTTTTAGCCCATTTAAAAGTGAGGTTTATAAGCCCGGTCCAAATTAGTCCGCTGGCCTTGAGGCTTGACCGAGGCTGGACCTGGGCCGGCCCGTGGGCTAAAAATTAATTAAACTCAAATTTAAATATTTAAAAAAAGTAAAACCTAAAAAAATATTAACTATAATCCCCATTTTTCAACCTTAGATTGCTCATCGATCCTTCCATATCAACTGAAATTTATATTTTTGATATGCATGTAGTATGACAAGATTAGTTTTTCTTTTGCTTAATTAACAACGAACTAGGAAAGTTTTAAGTGGTCAATAATAATTTTTTTCAAAAGAAAATATTACTTTAAGTGGCCAATGATCAGTTTGATTACTTTAATATATTATTAACGGAAAAGGGTCCGATCTATCCCTCTACTATGATAAATTGTTCAAAATTGTCCCCGTTATACTATTGGGCCATAAAAGTCCCTGTCGTCATACTATCCTAACAAATCTGCCCTTAGTTAGACAGAAGTGCCACGTGGCATCCATCCGTGCCCTTTTAACATTTGTGCACATATGAGACGACCCGCTCCATGAAACCCACCAAACCCATAACCCGCAACCCGCCATTTATAAACCAAATAATACCCATTTCTAATAATCGCGTTGGGGAAGTAATCGTTTTAGGTAATCTAACTTCCTCTGGTGATTTTAATTCCATTTTTTAAGCCGAAAACTTCCAGATTTCAAATTCAAAATCAGAAATCTGGGTTTGTTGGTTACCTATTGTTAGAATCGTTTGGAGAAATCATTTGTTGTGCTTAAGTTTTGATTCAATTACTGATTTGGAAAAATATACTTGAAGGGAAACTAAAATCACTATTGTGAATTTGTGATTGCTTAAAAAAGCTTTTGCGGATGAACTTTGGTTTCCGATGGCTCCTTCTACACTTCTTATCATTTTTCTTAAATTTTAATTAAATATTTTTGATTGGCTTCTGATTTCTAATCTTCCTTTATTTTATAATATATGTAAAAACAGTTATAGACGAACCATTTTCTTCCGCACAATTCAGTAATTTCTTGGGAATATGGTGATGAAAAGTAAGGAGAAGAAGATGATGGGAACGATGATATATCAATTGGACACTGGATTTAAAATTTTGGAAGAGTTGAGATGTCTGTGTTTCTTGTTCAAAGTATTTTTTAGAACATTGTTAGAAAGCTGGTACGTGAAGCAAGAGCTAAAAACTCCATTGATGAAAGCTCTGAATCTTAGCTCGAAAATTGAGTTTTCGAAAATGTGAACTATTTCTAATTGATGTTATTTTTTTTTGTTAGGGATCTCTTGGGGATCTTAAATCTCAAATTATAACAAATTTGGTGAAGATTCAAAGAAGTTGGGTTGGAAATTTTGAGCAAATATCAATAAAGATGAAGAACAATGCTGGTTTTCCATATTTTTAAGTTATGTCTCTCTTTTTGCCTTTAGGTTACGGGTCTTAACTTGGGCGGGTCAGTATTGGATAGTTTTTTTTAAAATTGGGGGTGGGTCGTTTGATGAGGAGATGCCACATGGCACTTCCGTCTAACTAAGGGCAGATTTGTTAGGATAGTATGACGGCAGAGACTTTTATGGCCCAATAGTATAACGGGGGACAATTTTGAACAATTTATCATAGTAGAGGGATAGATCAGACCCTTTTCCGTATTATTAATTATTAAGTTGCTCTTCAGTATAGTAAAAAGGTCAAATTTTAATACCAAAAAACATTGACAACACTAACAAATTACGAATTTTAAAATTTTTATGGACTATAGTAATGAAATCAACAAATAATGTTAAATATAAATTATAAAACCTTAACATATAAACTTATTGAAGCAATTCGTGAAACTAAGAAAAGTGAAAGAAAAGTACTAAGAAAATATTCATGTAACGTTAAAAAAATTAGAGCTGGAGATATAGAGAATTTGCATTTCAATTACGAGATTCCTAGTCAAATATCAAGATCCTTGTACACTCTAAATAAACAGAAGTCGTTCATATGATTAAGAGATTATGTCACGAAAAAATATCTAAAGAGTTGAAGAAATATTTTTTCCTAAAAAATTAAAGGACCGGCCCGCCCTAGCCCGCGGCCCTCTTAAGGCTGGGCTGCGCTGGCCATTTTAAGACCCATATAGATGGAGGGTCGGCCCTCCCTAGCCCACCAAATTTAAAAGCCCACGAGGCTTGGATTGAGTTTGACTGGGCTAACCCGTTTTGACAGCTCTATTTATTAGTGTACTCTTGAAATTTTCTTGCATGTGTTTAGCCTAAAATTTGGTTTAAAGACTAAATTATCAGATTTGTTAAATTAGGGCCACAAGCAATCCAGTTAATCCAATTGAACAGTTAAATGTTACGGTCAACGTACGAGATCGTCAAGTAATAAAATGATGAGATAAAATGTCGAACTTACATGGACTTATGATTTGATCATTAATTAGACTAAACAAGAATTAAACCTAAAAGAGGTGATTCTAAATTAATCAAACTAAAAGGAAAACAAATAATCTATCTATTTATAAATATATCTATATCTATATCTATCTATTATTATAAAAGCAGGAAGCCCTTAACTAAAAATTTCAATTACTTAAATGCCCTTATAAATACCTTATTTATACCAATTTTTTTTAAATAAACACCAAATTTATTTGAAGAAATGTGATCCTTCACATTAGTGAAAATGGCGACTCTTCACAATATATATATATATATATATATATATATATATATATATATATATATATTATAAAAGTGGAAAACTCAAAAATGAAAAGTTAAATTACTAAATTACCTTTTTATTAATCGAATAAATAATAAATGCCCTATTTAATTTAGACAAAAAGATGTCCAAATAGACGCCTAGAAAGGACGCCTCTCTTCATACACTTGCAATTTAATAGCCCCTCTTATAACCTACTCATAAATAATAAATACTCTATTCAATCTTTTTAGAAAAATAAAACTTAAGAGACACCAAAAAACAATGCCTGCCTTCAGATGCTTTTAATATAAATAGAAAAAGAATGAAAAAACGTGTATATATATATATATATATATATATATATATATATATATATATATATATATATTTGACCCCAAAACACTCTATATCCTCCTCTTAACTCGGAGTAGCTCCTGCAAAGCATAAAAACCTCAATTAGAGTATTTTGTTATCATTTAGCACTTAAATCATCAATAAGTATGATTAACTTCGAGCATAAATAATATCTACATTGCATAATATAGGCTACTATCACTTATTATATAATTTTTTTAGAAGTCGCTAAAGTTTCAAATCACAAAATAAATAAACAAAACATTGTAAATCTTATCCTGATTTAAGTGGTAGCCAATGCCGATTTGTGTTCTTCATAGTTCTCTATTTTTGTTCATTGTTTACTCATGTAATACCTTTCATTTACTATATGTCTATCATTCTTGTTTGGTTCAAAAGTTAGCAATATACTTTGTAAGCTAGAAAACAATCAAAAGTAAGAAAAGGGTAAATCGTAATCAAATATAATAATCCTAGAGATGCAAAGATGATATTATTATTGTAGATCTAGTATTGCAAAGTGATAGTATGATCTTAACAAGATATGTTCTTTGAGGTAGAGATAGAGAGAGACAGAAAAATGAGAGAGTTGTATTAGATCAGAATCCCCCTTTTTACAATGTGAAGGTCTCCTTTATATAATAAGAGACCTTCCTCGAAAGAATCAAAAAGTTACAAAGACAGGTAACATCTCCTAGTGAAAACACTGAGTCCTAAACGATGTCGCTTTTGTCCCCGCGTCCGAGTCGTACCCGCTACATTAGTCGGTGTACACTCACTGGGCGTACCCTCTGGCGTAGGGATGCTGACGATCAAATTTGACCCCATATAGTTAGTCCCTCCGCTCGTTGGAGACGCATTCGGTGGGCGTCTTCGATGGGCGGAAATGCGAACCTCGGCTTAGGAGAATTTGACCTCGACCAGGGACGGCAATATGAATAAGGTGAAATATATGACGTTGTAGAGCCACTGACGCGTGGCTTCCTTTTTGGAATGACGTCATCGCCTGTATGCGTCATTATTATATTTGCCCCCGAGGTGGTTCAGAGGGTGATGTGACATTTTGGTTTCCCGCGCACGTTTTGAATCATGACTCTTCGATTTCTGCGCAACTTATCCCTATAAGTAGGAGAGAGGTTCGATTCGATTCACCTTTCAAGCCTTCAGAAGGCATTTTCCGATTTACTCCTTTGTCTTCATTTCCTGTAACCGTTATTTCGTGAGGGACTCTCCCACTTCTGCTGAAACCACACTTCCTATCGTCGGTGCTTCGTTTCTTACGTAATATAATCATGACAAAACATGGACAGAGTAGTAAAAAGGCTAAAGATAATGCCCCGTCTAGGGTTCCGCCATCTTCCGGTGGAGAAGGGGAAAAGGCGGAGAAGGCCCTTGTTCCTCTCAGTGTAGACAACGTCCTTCCGAAGGAGATGCATGTTCGCAGGGATTTTCCAACTAAAAGCCCAGACCTTCCCTGGGAGCACATCGTTTTATTGCAATCCCACTTAGATGATCTTCGAGAGACGCACCATATTCCGGACCATGTGGAAATGGTTCTGGACGGGACGGACTATGCCAATGTGCACCGGCCTGGATACTGCACATTCTATGAGTACCCGTTCTTGATCGGTTACAATCTTCCAATCTACCCTCTGACGCAGGAGCT